TTCATGGACATAGGGAGCTTCTTCAGACCTTTTTTTACTTAGATACTATTTTTATATTTTACGAGATAAAAATGTAATTGTTGGAAGACAACAGTACATTTGAATTTCCTACTGCTCTTAGATTATTGATAGGTCTTCGCCGCGCGATGACCTATTATTAATCTATGCTACTGCTTCTTCTCACAAAGTCTCCCCGTAGTTTTTGACTTTCAAAAAGTTTTTTCTTTATAGAAACATATGAAGATGGATGCACAGACATGTGCATCCATCTTCGTTTGCGAATTAAAATGCAGATGCGTTGTCAGCCGTGAGGACTAAGATAGAATGCCTCTTTTCCAGTAAAAAGGGTCTCCGGTTCTGTACACTCACCATACGTAACACAGCAGCATTAAGCTGCTATTTTACGCTGGTATTCTGTGAGAGTGTGGTCCTTCCCCGGTCGAGCCGACCCATTCGTGCTACAACTATACTACTAATATAGCTGCAGCATGGCTCTACCACGTAAAAAATACCAAAACTACAGAGTAAGTTAAAAACGGAATAAGTGTGCGTAACGCCCACAACGACCCCGTGGTGCAGTAATTAGCATTGAGTTGCGGCGCTGAATGCCACGAGTTCGAATCTCACAGGGAACAAGTATTTGAATGGCCTACAAATATTTTTTCTGGGTCTGGATGCTTGTCCTTGTGCAATTTATGCATATTATTATGATACAGTTTAGTTATCGTTTGAAGGTGACAGTGCTATTTACCATCTAAGGTTACATCATCTGAGACCAAGTGGGACTGTAGTCAAGCACTGGCTTATAATAAGTCAAAAAAGTTTGAAATAATTTATCAGAAATTGGGAGAAATATAAAATATTGAAACAAGATCGTAAGAAGCGATAGAGGGAAACCAACCAAGAGAAGGGCAGTAGCCTTTCCTAATAATCCAACTAAAAGATAATATAATTACAAATTAAAATAATTGTACAACCGACTTCAATATAAATTATTAAGAATAATTCAAAAACGATTGGTCAGACCTTAATCAAAATTTATATGGGACCACATCTGAAGCACAGATTACCAGCGTCAAATAGCAGCTTAACACTGCTGTGTTCCGTATGGTGAGTGTAGAGAACCGGAGACCCTTTTTACTGGAAGCGAGGCATTCTTAGTCCTCACGGGTGACAACGCATCTGCATTTTGATTCGCGAGCGAGGATGGATGTAGATGTCTATGGGCCACAGGAGCCACTTGCCATCAGGTGGACTGTGCTTGTTTGTCAACCTATATTATTTAAAAAAATGGTAGGATAAATTTAGAACTTCATATTCGTCATCATCAACATTATTGCTACATAGCAAAGGATTTATTATTGACAGATTGTCACAAGTTAGCAATGGACTTTCTCGAGACATAGGCTTTCTCGATGAATGCCACAAATCTCGATCCTGTGCCCCTTGCATTCATCGACTTTCTGCATGTCTTACCAGGTCGTTAGTTCATGTAGTAGGGAGCTGCCTTCTTCTTCTTTTATCTTTTATGAACACGTGACCTTGCTTACCGCGCACGAAGTTGACTTATGAGAACCTTTCATCCCCATCAGTTGTTGATTCTTCTTGCAGTATGACCGGCCCATTGCCTTCAGCTTACTGATCCGTTGATCTATGTCAGTTACTCTACTGCAGATATCTTTATTACGAATTCTAACACGCAGAGAAACTTCAAGCGTAGCCCAATCCATAGCTCGCTGAGCGACCTGAAGCTTCCTCATACCGCCAGTGATTAACGACCACGTCTCAGATCCAAGTCATCAGTGGCTAGACGCACTGTAGGTAATTATTAATATAATCGTTTCTAAGTTTTGAGAACCAGTGGGTGTCGTATGAGACAGCGACGGTAAACTAAACTAGAAGATGGGCCGCAGCATCATCCTGATAACAAACCGAAACCAAGCGTAGCAAATATGGCAAATAGGTCCCCCAGCCCCCTGAATAATGGTACAACTTTCCTACTAACAACAAATTTATGTACATATCGCATTTTATACGATACAATAGATAATATTATTATAATATTTCTAAGAAAAATCGATCATGTGAAGAATAAGTAACGACGTCCGTAAATGATGGTCGGTGCGAAAACTTCTGCGTGTTTTTATGATCAGATTTTAAGCAGGAGCTAAAAGAACGGTTATGTAGCCTTTGCATACTGAATTATTGTGAAGGTTCAATAAAATCCAAGAATAAAGTTCCGACTAAAGTACACTTTACCTTGGTTTTTGTAATAAGGCAGATGAATTCTTCAATTGTGCAAAGGTACACCGTTCCCCGCTGGACATAAGCTCTACTGGCAATGTAGGAAACATTTGTCTTAACCACCACGCATTTTAGAAGTGATCGCAATCAAAGGCAATGTAATCACTACGATCATAGACGCTTTGCTCCTTGTCGCACGTCATAATTTCAATGTCCTAACTCAAAGTATATATATTTACATATATCCTTATCCTATTTATTTTACTAATTTCTCCCATCTTCACCTCAAGAAGAATAGAACGCAACGAATGTTACGAAGATAATCGACGCCAGCGCCACGCAATCACTTCGAGAACGAGTGTGAACTCCCGCGACACGCTCTCGCTATATAAATAATTAAAATAATAATCTCACTTTGAACTCAGACACAAAACGATAATTCTGAGTGCCATGTTGTGTAATACAAGAAGACCAGCCTGCATCGAGCAACAGAAAAACTGCAAGAAATTCTGCTGGGCTATGGAGGTGCGTGGTTCTTCCCTGTAAACGAAGAGCATCTTAATCCCGCATTTCCTACCCTAACGTACCATACGCACCAAGTGGGATGTCTGACTTTTCCATAATCGCTTCTTACGGTCAAAAAAGTTGATGTGTTTTCTCCTATTTTAGTTGCCCTCGCATGGCTTTCATAGAATGCAGTAGCCACTTACCATTAGATAATCCTGGTATATAGTCTTCAACAAAAATAAGTGCTCTTGTAAAACATCTGCCATTGAATAGTCTTGTGCACTACAGGCAAAGAAATTAAATGAAACAATCATTTGTAACTAATATTTATAAAATTATTCATGATTTAGCATTTTACAAAATAATAATATTTACAAACAGTATAAGCTACATACATGACTACATACGTATATAAATAAAATTCATTGACTCCCATTATTCAACGTTTAATATACATGAAACATTTAACACTATATCGATTTAGTTGCAAAATCCGACACAATGGCCAGAGCCTTTTACGGGAAAATGCTAAAAATAAATACCTACAAACAAAAAAGAAAACAACACAAAACCATACACCGATACAGTAAGTACATATATTTGTTTATAACACACAACATAATACGATGGGTAGGTTAAAACAATCAAACTATAACTAAAGCCTCTGCCCCTATCTTCTTAGTTTCGTTCAATTTGGCTGTGTAGAACGTTGATGATAATAATAAGTTCTTCATAAACAAATTGCATATCGATAGGACCCGACGTATCTTAATAAAACTTTCATAACTAAATAGAACATATTATATAAACTTCGTAATTTTTAAAGTCACCGCTGTCTTATACGTTGGTCATTATGTCGGCTTGTGCAGTTATTTTAATAATGACTAATTGACTAATTTTCATTTGTTTAATAGCAACAAATCCAAACGAAGGGTTAAAAAATATGACGTCCAATGTGCTATTTGATAATATGCCTCCATTATAAAAATAAATTTTATCAACCACTGAACATAATATCATTGCATTATTTACAATTTTAATAACTAAACGTTACATAAATTTCTATATTTCGTTAGCTCTAAGGGCTTCGACAATGTCGCCTAGAATAATTGATTGTGCACGATCATATAAACTAAGAATTTAATACTATCAAAAGAAAAATACATAATACACATTTATTGTGTAATGTGTACGTACACTAAAGAAACTGAGGTAATTGGTTTTGAAGATAAACAAAAACGGGTAACTAATTTAATGACTTCCAGTATTTACACAGCGTACGATACAAACAACCGAAAGAGAACGGGATTGACATATTATGACGTACGTATGATAGTTCAATGTGCGGTAGTGTAAGAAATAGACTTTTTTATTTGTGATGTTGACGGACTGTTATTAATTTTCTTCACAGATATTTCTCTAAAACTATACCTAAGCAGAAAGATTGCACAATACAAAGATAGAGAAATAGAACAAACGTATATTGCAATAATTATCTATATACATTCGAAGGTAAACAAGACTTATCTCGCTCAAAATTCAACGACGTGGAGAAAATCAATTGAGCGTTTATTGTACACGTATGTACAGCGGTATTTGGTAACGTGGAGTCACATACACGCTTAATCTACAGTAATAGCATTGAAATCCTCGTAGATAGTTTACGGTGTTAAAATAATTTCAAACGAAAACTTAACATAAATCAGGTCACACAAATGAAAAAAGTGAAAAGCGAATAAAGAAAAAAACAATTGGATATACTAAAATCTTTATCTTTATATGTAATTTTTTTAATCAATTATAAACTCAATGCATATGCATGTGTGTAAATGGATTATAACTATTCATAATCAGGGCACCTTTAACTTGACGTAAAATATCTACGATGACATATCGTCATGTAAAATGTCTCACACACAATATTCAAAATGTCGCACAAATCACGAAAGTCTTCGATCACTAGTGACTGAGCTCGAACACACACACAAATTAATTAAAAAATTATCTCTATACGTCAACTACAAAAAAAGGTATCCAAAATTCTTATTTGTTGTATGCGCCTTTAAATTTACATAAAGGCGATGCGATTGCTACATCGAAATACTCTTAGAGGTGTATATAAGAGACGCAGTTCTTATATAAACCAAAGAGAATTTGAAGAATCCGAGAGTTGACACGTTAAAAGCCGAGAGGCGGTCGCGGGAACTTTGGATGCCTTTCTAAGGGTTCGTTAGGCTAGGTAGGCTTGGCTACTTGATCCTGTTGAGCACGAGGTCGGTGGTGACGGCGAGCGCCTTCTGGTAGGGCGAGTCGGCCAGCTCGGCGGCCAGGCGCGCCGCCTGCAGCCCGTGCTTGCGCGCCAGGAAGCGCGTCTGCTCCAGCCCGCGCGACTGGTGCACCAGCTCGAACGCCTTCTCCACGTCGCCCGCCTCTTGGAACCGCCTCATGATCATCGGGTTCAGCTCCGGGTACTGCCGACACAAGCCATTGCGATCACTTTAATGTTGCAAAATGTACGGAGCTTGGGCTAGCTCTTGTACTAAGACATCAATCCACTTGCCAAGCGTAGCGATAAAAGCAAATCCACTCTATTGCCTACAGTGCAAGTTTGAGTGCGACTGCGTGCGCGTGTGCGTATCCAGGTGCATATGCGTGTGCGTGTATGTGGGTGTGTGCGTTTGCGTGTTAGTATATGTGCGTCAGTGTCAGTGTATGTGTGAGGCTCGGCAAACCAAAGAAAATTCAATAAGCATAATATTCATTCGAAGTACACAATCCTGAAATTGGTTTTTCAATAAATTGAATTTAAGCAAACAGTTCTATCAGATATAAGAGGCCATTGCCGAATAATATTAGTCAATTGAAATACTCATTAAGAGTTGACAAAATAAACATTTATATAGAACGGTTTTAGAATAATATATTATTATTTCATAGTTTTCACAGTTAAGTAATCAATACATAATTCAAAATACTAAAAATCTAATTTACCTTAAAATGAAAAATCGACCAACTTTTAATGCATTACTAAAGTAAGGCAAAGTACAACTACTAAACATATGTCCAAGTCAAACAAAGTTATATAATGAAATTGTTATTTTGTTGATTTATATGGAGTCGTCTCCATTACCTAATTCAAAATCCTTTTTATCATCTATACATAACAGTTTCCCTGCCCGCAAACAGACAATAATTTAATGGGACAGGGAAAGAATTAATTATTGTATATAAAAAATTTTGGAAGATTTTGCGATGTTTATTACTCAATTATACATAAACAGCTATATGAATTTGGATAATATTTAACACACAAATAGATCATTATCCTAGATTAACACATGGATCAATACATTTTGCACCAGGCAAAATAAATTTACCGCTAGAAAATATTAACATCGGCGTTCATGACAAAAGCCGCGGGCAAAATCTACACGGATAAAAAAATAATTTCATTGAGATAACATAAATTAAACTTTAAAATATACTTTATGTCAGGTTCATTATCTCGCGCAAATAAAAAATTTCCATAATCCTTTAAGAAATTAAACTTTGATTTCGGCATGTTTCTTTAAGTAACGATAAATTAACTCGTTTCATTTATAGCTTTTAAATATTAAATATTACTGGTAATCGAGCGAACAGTCTTTATAATTAATGGGACTGTGAGGCCCTTGTCTAAATTTTATAGTATTTTATTTCTCTTAAATCATGATACATATATCATGTCAGGTTTTTTATTATTAATTTGTCTAAATGTTTTACTTAATGTTTCTTAAGCCATGATGACACTTTTCATGTTTTGCTTCGAAACAATTCGGTTAAAAAATTATAAATGTCAAGCTATTGCTAGATTTTTACTACGTATGTATGTAATTAATTACTCTAAAATTCTTTCCAACACGTTCCGCGTAATTTACTTTGACACTGACACTATTTTTATAATCGCATGAGACCGCTCGCGACTACATTCATCTAGGGTTCGACGCCGCTATTAAAATTTTGAATTGCGATTTTCAGGTAGCACAGAAATCGGTGCCAGTTTTAAACGATGGATTATTTCTATGATACTCATCGATATATATGTACTACGTACTAGATTTCGCATTCCGAACATACACTATGTTCAACTATACTGTACTGCAATCCGTACAGTGTGTCATTTACTCTGGTTTCAATCTACTAGTTAGTCTGTGGTTTCAATATTCATGCAGTGTGAAACGTCGCTAATAATACAAGATTTCAAATTAAAGTTTAAATTAAAAACTGACCGGGCAGACGCAACGCGTTTATATCAACTGCGTATGCGCGACTCTACTAACTCCCGCGCATTCGCGAAGACAGAGTAGTGCAAATTTTTTGTTTAGAATGGCTTCTCTAGTACGTAGTACATATAACTCAATGGTGATACTAGTTTGCCTTGACTACGAATAAACGAAGTAATCGCGCAATGGCATTGGTGTCGCCTTTGTCACTCTCATGCACCTTAGCCAGCCAAAGTGAATAGGCGCTCAAATTAGCGCCCAAATATTGCTAAGCATATTCAGACGGACTTCTGAGGAGTAAAGGAGCCCTTTCATTGAGATTGAATTGACCTAAAACCGGCATCAAAAAGTTACATTCTGCTGTTGTTTCGTGTGAGTGAGTGATGACAACTGGAGACCCTTTTTCAACCGACATCAAAGAGGAGGAGAGGTTTATAATTCGTCGGGATTTTTTTTATGTGTGTACACCGATTACTCGAAGAAACCTGAACCGATTTGGAAAATTCTTTTTTTGTTTCAAATGGTTATACTGCCCAGGTGTCTTATTTAAATTATATCGAAATCGGTCGAGCGGTTTAAAAAAAAAAATCAACAATAAATTATATTTATATTGAAGTCGGTTGTATAAAATTTTTAATTTTACCAGTTGTTACTAGGAACGAAGCATTCACACCTTAGTCCACAGGGCTGACAATAGAGCTGAGTTACTAATAACAAAGTAATAAGTAGACTTTAATGGTTAGAGGATGTTATGTGTGTTGTGTGTGCTTGTTTGGCATCTTTACTATAAAAAAAACCCGAAGAAGAGTCAGGGGCTAAGTATTCGTAGTAAATTTCATACGAGTAGTATATTACAAGTTCGATCCTTGCCGCCACCAATGTATATTAATTTCAAATTTTAAGTGTTGATTCACCACGTGCTTAGCGCTGAAGGAAACATCATGAGGAGGTTCGTGGCTGCGAAATAAAAAAAAATATTTTGAAGAATTGTGAAGGCAGCCAACACGCATTGAGGCAGCGCAGTGAATTTATTTCCTTGTACTAAAACCCTCTCAGAAATGAGAGAAGGCCTGTACTCCGGAGTGGGAGGAATATAGACTGTTACTTTTAATTTTACTTTACTATAAATAATTATAATTCAAAAAGCAACCATTTTTACCATATATCTAGTTCTCAGCTATATTTAAAGTTTCAAATCTAACTCATCGGGATGTTAGTTGAAAATCGATTGCTAAATTTGTACCGGACAGACAAACAAACAAACAAACAGAATTAGCCATATTTAAAGTTTAAAGTCTGTAGCTCATCGGGAAGTTAGTTTAGTTTAGTAGAACGTGGTAAAAACAGCGAAGGAGTTGTGTCCGCTGGCGCAGCGGGTGGAGGCGTACCTTCTCGCAGGCGAAGAGCACGGGCGCGGTGGCGAGGCCGAGGCGCAGGTCGGCGGCCGTGGGCTTGCCCATGGCCTGCGCGGACGACACGAAGTCCAGCAGGTCGTCCACCAGCTGGAACGACAGGCCCAGGTTGCGCCCGTACTGGAACGCCAGCTCGCACGTCGCCTCGTCCGCGCCGCTCAGCAGCGCCACCTGCACCCACGTTCGTTCACACCATACAGTAATGGCGCACACAACAATTTTTCCGGACCGATAAGACTTAGGGACCTTCAAGAAAAGAGCCCACTCTTTTTAAAAGGCCGGCAACGCATCTGCAATTCTCCTGGTGTTGCAGTTGTTCATTAAAAGAAAGCTATTTCGAAATACAAACACTTCAATTTTATTAATACCTAAGAATAAAACTATTGGTAAATCCAATTGTGCATGCCCTAAGGGCATTAAAAAAATGAGTATAACATGATTATACGGATTTTTTTTAAGTAGTTTAAATACACACAAGTTTTCACTAATAACCTTATTATACTTCAATTTTTCAATAATTTTATGTCAAACCTCAATTTAAAAGAAAGTTTGGAAAATTCAAAAGTGCACGACTCATAATGCTCATATTATAATCATCATATCGTCATTCAGGTCACTCCATAAAGTCCAAGACGTATTTAAGTATAAATACATACATCCTACTTACTTTTAGTACGTACTACAATTATTTATTGTGTGCTTTTAAAATATTGTAATAAAAGTCTCTGATTATTATAATAATCAAGTATGTATGAAATTTAGTATTGTTTTTGTTGTTATCTCATAATATTACCATACCATACTATCTATCTATATATCTATCTATCTATTACTTGCTCGTTTAACGTTCTCTTATATTCTAAAGAAACGCACAGTTTATTGTGTAGTTATGAGGATTCATGCATATAGACATGTCGAGCTATGAATTGAACAAAGAAAAATTTTCTTGGTATGTATACATATATTGAATTCGTCGAAGCAACCGGAGTATCAAATACGACATTAACGAAAAGAAATTCTTCGAATATTTTGTATTTGAATATTATTACAGCGATCTTTTTGAGCACGAGCCGCTGCAAGTACCCGATACAGTATCCACTCACGACGGCGGTTGACGCTGGACTGAGTGAAGCAGTCTATTTAGTAAAATAAATTACATACAAGTCTGCTAAAACACCGAAAATTTCTGTGTTTTAGCAGACTTGTATGTAATTCTTGGTGGAGGGGGGGGGGGGGGGGGGTTAGTTTCAGCAGTGATCTTTAATAGACTGAGTAGATAAGATGGATGATTGAGCAACGCGCGCAAGTTGATTTAGAATATTAAAGCCCGTTATAATTCGATTTTGTACAAATGTACGAAACTCTCAAACTGTTGGCAGAAAAACGGGTTTTATCGCTTATGTTATTAACCGGAGACCGTTTTTACTTTAACCGGAGACCATTTTTACTAGATATGATGATGCATTCCATCTTAGTCCTCCGGGGTCCTCCGGGATAAATGTAAATGTTTATGACCCACAGTATCCACTTACCATCAGGTGGACTGTGTACTCGCTTGTCACCCTTATTCTATAAGGAAAAATTATTATATAATAAGTTAAAATTAAACGCGATAAAATACTAAAATGTACATTGATTCAATTTGAGAGTCTTTACTCTCGAAATTACGCAACTACACACTTTTCCTTATAATTTAAAAAAAACGGGTATATAACAGGCGCTACCCGATTATATGTAAACTCGAACAAGAATTGCAACAACAATTATGCGAAGTAAAAATAAAGCAATGCAACTGTAAAGTAAATATTCACCATTACAACTACACACGTCCAATATTAACACAAAGTTATTTTTTTATTACTTACGGCAATGTTTTAATTTAATATATATATAATGTTGTTCATACATTTTTGTTTTAAGCTTGTAAAAAAAAACAATGAAGTAAATAACATAATATTTACATTATAATTTTATAATTATGTAAGGTGAACGTGATCAATCTGATAAGCGAGGCATTAAATAAACGCGAATCTTAATGAAATATTTACAGTCAATTTAAATAAATATCATTATAGAATTACGAACTAAATAGGTGTAGAGCGAAGTTTTATCAAACTTATACCAAGATCAACGAACTCTAAAATAGAGTTCGTTGGCCAAGATTAATTCACAATTTTTAAATATATGAAGGTAAACATAATTATTTAAATTTTTAACTATACATAGGCGTTATTATAATTTATCTTTGAAATAGGTAAATGCAGTAAAATACTGCTACGAAATTGTAAGCAAGATTAACTGTTTCGTCACAAATAGCTAATTTTGATACTTACTCGAAAAATTGTTACGAACGATCAAATTATTTTCTTATGAAAGATTTCATTAATTGGACATATTTAAAAATATAAAATTAACTACCGCTTTAACAGAGTTGGCGATTAGTGAGGCTGTCTTTCTATAAGTTTTCGTAAGGTAGTGCGCAAATCGCTCGTTCTCTGTCTCCTTGCTGCCAAGCTGCATGAACTCGCCCTGCACTAGATCAGTCACCACCTGCAAATATAATTATTTTTAAATTAGTAAACGGTCGAATCAGGCAATTATTTTCAGTTTGTAAAAACATTAGTTATTTTGTCCTCATTTGATTTATATCTTATCTAACATGACGGTTGATGTACTCTTACTACTTCCTTCACTTTCTTAGAATAGAATAGAATATTTTTTATTCAATATTGATTATAAGTAATTCTTATTGAAAGTCATTTTATCCTTTACCAATGGTTCGAAAAAAATCCTCTGTCCTGAGAAGAACCAGCAAGAAACCCAGCGGGACTTATTTTTAAATAAATTTTACAATACAAATTATAAGAAACTATTTACAAAATTTATTTTAGAAACAGCTTGGAAGCGACAATTAGTGTGATTCGCCATCTAGGACTTCAACACCACTTACCACTAGGTAGGATGGTGGTCAAGCACTGGCTTACAATAGTAAAAACAATACAACAAATTATTATATATATCCAACGGTAAAATATATTTTGTTGTTAAGCCGCGTCTTCACCAAAGTTTTGTTGCCAACACAACAGTTGCCAACACGTGTTGCCAACACGTGTTGCCAACAAATGTTTCTGTCAACAAGCGTCTCCACCGAGGGAACAAATGTTGGCTTGTTGCCAAATGTTGGCAACAAGCGTATTCCTTTGATGTTGCCGCCGAAAATGGAAACAAGTTTTATTGGCAACTGTTGTGTTGGCAACAAAACTTTGGTGGAGACGCGGCTTTACGTAACGACAGATTCCGAAGAATTATACCAATTTGTCATTAATATAATCGTTTTATAGATTCTATAAACCTTGAACAATGATTTGTACTTTGACATTTATCCGGTTTCGCAAAGAATTCATTTTGTGATTTCATTGTTTGTCAGAATAGGAAATTTCATTATAATTTTTATTAAAAAGAAAACAGGTTTAATGCGATAATTTATAAGCCTCCAGAAACATGTTTGGATTGATATTATATCATCAATCGTATTTCCTTGAAGTGGAATTTTTCAAATATCAAAGATACATAAATTAAGCAGTACGAATTTTGTAGCATTAGATTGACTCATAGGAAGAATATTTGCAATAGTTGCCACGGTTGGAAGGCGGGATGGCAACCGCACCTTTCATTATTTTGAGTTGTTATTAGGGATATGATGCTGACCATCTTTTTTTATAGGATAGGGTGACAAACGAGCACACAGTCCACCTGATGGTAAGTGGTTACTGTGACTCAAAGACATCTACATCTATCTACAATAAAGAATTAAAATGCAGATGCGTTGTCACCCGTGAGGACTAAGATGGAATGCCTCGTTTCCAGTAAAAAGGGTTTCCGGTTCTCTACACTCACCATACGAAACACAGCAGCGTTAAGCTGCTATTTTACGCTGATATTCTGTGAGAGCGTGGTCCTTCCCCGGTTGAGCCGATACATTCGTGCTACAAATATGCTACTTATATAGCTGCAGCATGGCTCTACCACGTATATCTCCTGTTTTAATTTCCTCTGTCGCCTCTTACGACGCCGACGGGATGATATGGGCGAGTGGTTTCCCTTACGCCACTACACGGTAGTTTCCTTTCTAGAAACCATTAATGTCAGATTTCAGTAGTTTTGCCGAAGTCCTACGCTGCTCTACAAAACAATAATGCTACAAATAAGTAAAATTTCACAAGCAAACCTTTTTAACAGAATTTCAGAATCTGATTGAACAATTTTTGTTTCCATATGAATACTTTTGCTTAAATCGGCACATCACGATAAAACAAACTATTAGATTTGAACATAAGACCAGTGATAGAGTAATTTTCATTTACGAGCTACGGCCTCTATTAACATCATAACGTTTAAGGCATGCATACAGTCTGTTAATGAAATCGTTGTTTCTTGTAAAATTGCATTTAATCACGTGAGAAAAAAATAACAATGCAACTAGTAAAACAAACGGGATGCTGAAATTATCGATTGTTAAGACATTTAACCTCAATGCCTTGATGCATGCGTCCACTTGGAATATATTTAATGTTAAAGTTTACCTAAAAACAACAAATTTTGTACTGCACTAGCTGAATCCGGCAGACGTTTTCCTGCCAGTTAATATCATAGGTTGTGTTCAGCAACGGTTTTTATTTTAGCGCATGCAATTTCATTTATTTATTGCCGCGCTTGATTAAAAAAAAACAAATGAAATCAATAATATTAAATTTTGTTTGTTTCTAAATTTATTAACCAAACTTTAAGAACTACTTTGAAAAATACATACATATGTATATACCAATTTAAAAAAAATTGGTATAGACATATTAGTATAACAGATTTTCAGATAAACGTTTTCATATATACAAACATACTCTTTTATATGTGTGGATAACGTATTAAAAATAACATTAGTATTCAAAACGTTCTACTGGCTGGGTACAGGATTCCTCTAATTTCTGAAAGGATGTTGCTACATTGGGTGTTGGTAGACTTCGCATGACCTCTAAATACTTTATTTCTTATATATACATACATGCTACTTTCGCGATAATTTACATTTAAAATATATACATATAAAAATGCAAATAAAATTACATATAAAATTGCAATGGATTTTCATCGGTGCCGGTGGGGATCGAACTCTGGTTGCCCGCGTACTGTAAGATAACTTCAAATGCTCAGCCCCTGAGTTACCCCTCGGATAACTCTCTTCTTCTAGTTTATGTATCTTTCGCGGTAGTTCACATTTCAAAACAATTTATTATTTCTATATATGTATGTATCTATTATTTTACTATAGCTATTCTTTTATTGTAATCACAGAATTATTGTCGAGAATTTAATTTACCAGCTTTTTATCGGTTTATTGAATTGAATATTATTTATTACATAAGATAGATACTTTTCTTTTACTGGCGGCGTGAGAGAATCCACTACTTCATATCATCCTTGATGTCGATGAGAGGGAAATAAAACGTGAAATTGATATTTCTACACGCCTGCCAAGCGTGACGATTATACAAAAATTATATAAAGCAAAAACAAGGCTTATCAAGGGTTATCCATGGAAAAGAGGTTATCGCTAATATGTTGTTTGTAAATATTTTCATATTTAATTGTATAAAATATTATATTGTAAATAGCTGTTCCCCGCGAGGAATCTATTACGATTGGATTTTATGGGTTTTAATTTTGAACGTCCCGTCAAAATCGGTCTAGCCGTTTCGGAGATTAGCCTTAACAAACATACAGACAGATTTTTTAAATGTTTTTTTTTTTCATATACTTTCATATGCATTTAGTAAAAAAACTGTTATTTTGACATAACAAACAGGCACTTCAACTTTAATCATTTGTATAGATTTTTAAGTTAAACACATTGCTAGTTCTTTTGTCATGACATAAAAACTAACAGCAGCAAAAAATCTAGCGGGCTCCTTTTTAAAAGTTACAGCTGACAAAAATGTGTGTCGTACACTTGGTGTCATTTTAAAAACAGAAGCAGCAAGAAGGCCGTTACCTGACTGAGAACGAGTGTGACCTCGTCGCTGCGTAAGCGAGCTATCATCATCGACGCCACGGCGAGGATGAAGTCGCCGGCCATCGCCACCTGAAATAACGAAACGTTTCCTTTAATATTTTTATTTTATAGAAAAGGCATTTTATAATAAAAATAATTTACTATGTGATAGGACTTCCTTTCCGTCTGTGTAGGCATCGTCATCTTACCTATTTCTGCGGCCAAGTAACACTGCTTACACTTTTGTGTTCCGGTCGGAAGGGTAAACAGATACATATTCCAGGTTAGCGGTCAGAGGTGATAACGCAACTGTAGCCTTCTTTGTTAAACAAACTGCAGTAATTACATAACATCAGATGGACTGAAAGTACGTTTGTCACTCAGTTTTACTATAAAAAACACAGGCCTCTAACTTTTTCAACTTTCACAGAATAAAAGAAAACATAATAAAATCATTCAAACAAAATAATAAAACTAGTATTTGCTGAATGTGTAAAAGAATCATCGCGTCCCATAAGTGTAGGAAAAGTCATCTATTAAATAGCATAAAATTTCAAGGCCTTCGATAGATGGTAGTTTGGTCACCATATTATAATTGTCATTCGTAAAATATACAGACCTGCGCGGCGTTGGGAGGCACAAGGGACCTTATATTATTAATTATTGGCTGCTTAGTCTGATCATTTTAAAGCACGTAACCTGATCAAAACCTCGAAATAAATCTCCAGTCCACTCTAGTCTCTCATTCGAGATTCTCATTTAAGCCCCCCTTTGTTGTTTGAAATATTAATAGCTACTTAGTTAATTATTAACTTAATATTCGATTAGAAATATTCAATAAATTTATTTAATAAATTTAAAAAAAATATATTTATTGATATTTAATTAAATTTTTTCGTAATTTATTGCCGTAATTATTTCCAAATTTCGTATTTTTTTTTTAATTTACTATTGCATTTTCTTATATAGGTACCTGATATTTAGGATTGTTCTTTTTATAATAATTAGTAATGTATTGATTCAATTATCATCTTGTTCTAAAATAATTCCTAATACCCGTACATGTGTTTGTAGTTATTTTTTTGTTATTATTTTGATATTCTGTAATGTTGTTTGCCATTGCATTGTTTGAATTGGGTCACGATACTCAAGATATTTCCATTAAATTAATTACGCTGAAATCTGTATGTATATTTACTTTCTTGTGCAATAATTAAATAAAATTAATAAATAATATAATAATAAACATATAACATAATATTAAACCGTGCCGTGTAGTGGCGGTCAAGAATATCCACTACCCCATATCCTCCCGTGGGTGTCGTAAAAGGCGACAAAGGGAAACAGCCAGGAGATGGGCAGCAGCATCATCCTGATAATAGCCAAATGACAATAAAAAAACTGCGGTTGCCAACCCGCTCGCCAAGCGTGGCAACTATGGCAAATACCCCCCAATGATGAGAGCAACAAAAAAACGGCCCCCAGTCCCCGGCGGCCCCGCTATTCCTGGCTACGGTGGCGACCATGGTAACGGCGGGGCAGGGGGTGCTAAGAATCTCCGATGGAGGTTCGGTTGCCACCTTAGACGACTCGACCTGGCAACGTACAACGCACGCACCCTGAGGACTGACGAGAAGATCGTGGAGCTGGAAGAAGAGATAGACAAGTTGCGCTGGCATATTATAGGATTATCTGAAGTCCGAAGAGAGGGGGAGGACACGGTAATCCTCGAATCCGGCAACTTGCTCTATCACCGGGAGGGCGACCATCTGTCCCAAGGAGGTGTCGGATTTATCGTCCACAAGTCTCTCGTTAACAACGTTGTAAAAATCGGGAGTGTGTCGACGAGGGTTGCGTACCTTATACTCAGAATCACCAAACGGTATTCGCTGAAGGTCATACAGGTTTACGCACCAACCTCGGCACACCCCGATGAGGAGGTGGAGGAAATGTATGAGGATATCTCTAGAGCCATGCATTCCTCCAAAACCCAATATACGGTGTTAATGGGAGACTTCAATGCAAAACTAGGCACAAGAGAGAACGGTGAGCTGAAAGTAGGGAAATTTGGAATAGGGCAACGGAACTCAAGGGGCCAGCAGCTTGCCGACTTCATGGAGAAAGAGGGACTCTTTATGATGAACTCTTTCTTCCAGAAGCGGCCCCACAGGAAGTGGACCTAGTCGAGCCCCGACGGTTCCACAAAAAATGAGATTGACTTCATTATGACGACCAGACGACAACTGTTCAGTGATGTCTCCGTGATCGCGAGGGTGAAAACTGGTAGCGATCACCGAATGGTTAGAGGCACACTGAACCTAAACGTTAAGTTGGAGAGGTCTCGTCTAATGAAGTCAACGCTCCGTCCCCCTCGTGCTCTGTTTCAAAGTCCCGAAACCTTTCAGCTCGAGTTACAAAACCGTTTTCAGTGCCTAATAGACTGCAATGAAGTGGACGATATGAATGACAAGCTCGTGGAAACTGTCCATGCGGTTGGAGCTAAGTTCTGCAAGACCTGCCGCAGAAGAACACAAAAACTCTCCGATCACACTCTTAATCTCATGGCTGTTAGACGGGAGATGAAGCTACATTCTTCAACAGACTTGACAGCATACAGGCATCTGAACAGACAGATCTCCAAATGCATGCGGCGGGACTTACGCAACTTCAATACAGCTCGTATTGAAGAAGCGATCGAGCGGAACCAAGGCTCCAAAGTCTTTGCCAGAGATCTGTCTGCCAGAAAGAGCCAACTGTCAAAGCTGAAGACAGAATGTGGCAGCATCGTTTCCGGGACACCTGAGATTTTGAGTGAGATTGAGAGGTTCTATGGGCAGCTGTACACATCATCGTTGGAGCCACACGCATGTTTGAGTAACGATCCAAGAGCGAGTCTCATCCGACACTATTCCGAAGATATCCCGGATGTCAGTCTGAGCGAGATTAGGATGGCTCTCCAGCACCTTAAAAACGGTAAGGCCCCAGGCGAGGATGGAATTACAGCGGAGCTTCTGAAAGCGGGTGGAAGACCGGTACTTGAAGTCCTTCAGAAGCTCTTTAATTCCGTCCTCCATGGTGGCATTACACCGGAGGCGTGGAGCAGAAGTGCGGTGGTCTTGTTCTTCAAGAAAGGTGACAACGCTCTCTTGAAGAACTACAGACCGATTTCCCTTCTGAGCCGCGTCTACGTGCTGTTTTCGAGAGTCATTACGAATCGTCTCGCGCGCAGACTTGACGACTTCCAGCCTCCCGAACAAGCCGGTTTCCGAAAGGGCTTTAGCACCATAGACCACATACATACCCTTCGGCAAGTTGTACAGAAGTCCGAAGAGTACAATTTGCCACTATGTCTGGCGTATGTGGACTATGAGAAAGCCTTTGATTCCGTCGAAATTTGGGCGGTGCTGCAGTCCCTTCAGCGGTGCCAAGTTGACTGTCGGTATATCGAAGTGTTGAAGTGCTTGTACAGTAGGGCTACGATGGCTATCCGAGTACAGAACCAGAGTACGAAACCTATCCAATTGCAGAGAGGTGTAAGACAGGGTGACGTCATATCCCCGAAACTCTTCACCGCTGCATTGGAAGACGTTTTCAAGCTTCTGGACTGGAAAGGATACGGTATCAACATCAATGGCGAGTACATCACTCACCTTCGATTTGCCGACGATATAGTCCTTATGGCAGAATCGCTGGAGGACCTAAGCACTATGCTCAATGACCTCAATAGTGTTTCCCAACGGATAGGTCTTAAGATGAACATGGACAAAACTAAGATCATGTTTAATGTCCATGTCACACCTATGCCGATAGTTGTTGGGAACACTAAGCTCGAAGTTGTTGACGAGTATGTTTACCTGGGACAAATAGTCCGACTGGGTAAGTCCAACTTCGACCGAGAGGTCAATCGACGGATTCAACTCGGCTGGGCAGCGTTCGGGAAGCTACGACACATCTTCTCGTCAGACATACCTCAAAACCTTAAAACGAAATTGTACAACCAGTGAGTGTTGCCAGTGATGACTTACGGAACTGAGACGTGGTCCTTCACTGCTGGCCGTATGAGGAAGCTCAAGGTCGCTCAGCGAGCTATGGAGAGGGCTATGCTCGGAGTTTCTCTGCGTGATAAACTTAGGAATGAGGATATCCGCAGTAGAACCAGAGTGACCGACATAGCCCAACGGATTAGTAAGCTGAAGTGGCAGTGGGCCGGCCATATAGCTCGAAGAACCGACAACCGATGGGGAAGAAAGGTTCTCGAGTGGCAGCCTCGTACCGGTAGGCGAAGTGTAGGGCGTCCCCCCACGAGATGGAGTGACGACCTGGTAAGACATGCAGGAAGTCGATGGATGCAGGTGGCTCAGGACCGTGTTTTGTGGCATTCTTTGGGGGAGGCCTATGTTCAGCAGTGGACTTGTGAAGGGCTGTAATGATGATGATGATGATGATGATAATATTAAACGAAAATAGCCTAATGATTAAGGGTACGAACTGCGAACTCTAAAGATGTGGGTTCGATTCAGCCATTCGACTACTGTCGTGAACTACTTCTATCTAACACAAACATTTTAACCTCCCTGAATTAGTTAACGGGAATATTAGTATCGTTATTAGCATTGTTATTATTTTTAAATACAATATTATGAATTATTCCACCACAGAAGATGTGATGTGTATGTATTTGCCATGGATACCAAACTTTCTGATTATTTGTCATAAGTTTACTTCGTGGCAATGATTGTGATACAACATAATTCAATTCAATCTTGCCTGTATACACGACAAATCATCAAAGCCTATCCTATAACCTAAAAACGGCAGAAAATTGCTCAATTAAGAATAATCAAGACCAAGACTAAATTACTGAGTGAGTCACTTGGTATTATAGTACATAATATCTCACATAATACATTCTACTTTATTTAACAACTAACGTTATATATACTTAACAAGCAATTTACTAAGGCCGTCATTAAAATCATTTCAATGACGACTGCCTGCGGTTTGGTCGGCCTAGAACGAAACCGTAAATATTAGGTAATGTTGGGCCCTCGTACACATAGCGCAATTACTAACTTCACCGTTGTCCTTAC